GATAATAGGGGAGGAGCAAGAAAGAAGGCACAGGCCTATAACGGGGGAATGAAATGCATGTTCAGACAGGGGGAATCGTTTGTAAGAAAAAAAGGACGAGGATGAGTTAAGGGCAGCGGGGGGAGAGAGAGAGATGGAGAAGATATCCTGCTGACCCCGCCACCCTTAACTGTGCGTCGGGGTGAGCGCGCTCTCACCGGCCTGTCTAAACGAGCACGGGATGCGGGTTGTTTATGTTATCGCATCGTCTCCTTTTCCATCTCAGTGGTTCGAGTCCCTCTGTGTTTGCTTTCCTTTTAAGTGCTGGTTCCTGGGTGTGCGCTGGGTGCCCTTCCCACTGCGTGGTGCTGCATGATCGAGTGTGATTACAGGTGCGCCCACGAGGAGCTGACCAGCGTGAGACGGGCCGGAGCCAACACACACACACACACACACACACACAATGAACACGAGGTATAAAACCCCATCACGGAGGCAGAGACTTGTCCTCTGTAGCGCGCAGCTTGAGCCTTTCGTTCGGTGTTTCTCTCTGCACCCACTCGGTTCCTTCCACACAATGGCCGTGAAATCGTTGGCTATATTTCCCCTTTTCATACTTCAGTAGCCCCGCTTTTTCTTGCTTTCTCACTTACTCTTCTACATTCCCGCGGCTCAAAAGAGTCCTGAAAGGCCGGGGCTGGGATTTTCACACCCCTTTCTCTCTGCTTGACTCACTAAAAAGTGATGCCTCTCCGCACCGATCCTCCCTTTCTCCCACTGGCGTTACGCTTATCCTTACAGCCCTCCCCGTCTCTTTGAGCCGGCTACAGGTGTGACCTAACTCCTTACAATTCCTACTTCATTTCCTCCCTCGCTCACCTATTTTTTTTCCCTTTTTATCACATGAAAGGCCTCCCGCTGCCCTCGGCTCACCCTCATTCCGGCTCTTTCTTCTTGTGCACCCTCGCCCTCTCCTCTAGCCCCAGGAGATAGCTTGGATAACAGGTGGAGTCTCTGGTTTTTTGGGGAGGATCAAGTTTCCACCCTTGGCTACAATGAAACCGAACCATAAACCACTGAGTCACACACAAAGAGAGACTCATAAACAGTGAGCGGTAATCCATTAGAAAAGGGGAATTCTATGTATTCAGTTTTGTAGCTCTTAGTGTTTTATCTTTCTCTGTAATTATTCTTCCTCACAAACAAATGGAGGGAGCTACTGAGGTCGGGAACGAGATGATGAATAATTCCTGTGCATAACTACATACAGGCGCCACACTCACACACAGCTCTTTCCTCAAAGAATTAGCACATCTAGTATCCACATGGCCTTGACATCGCATCCCCACAACAGCCCAGAGCCTCGGCACACAGACATCACATTATATGTGCGCACAACAGAGGATGTGTGTTGCGTTGATGGCGACCGTGCACTCCGGCTAGGTGGGGCTCACACGCTGCGCTGAAGCCTGATTGATATCCAGCAGCCTGCGGGCAAAACATGACGGTGAAAGAGCAGTTTACACACAAAAAACAGCCCTCGTGTTGATGGGAACGCAACGAGAATAAGCAATTCATGCTGTTGGTCGATGTCCCACGGCTGTGCTCAAAAATCTCCTTCTGTCTCTTGCTTTCCCTATTGTGCGTATCTTCCCCGCACTGCACTGCCATGACAGGTCAGTTAATATTGACATTATCTCCCTCCAACTCGATGACAGCTCGAGCTGCAGGAAGCTGCTCATTAGCTCTGCATGAGCCTACGCGTGCGTGTGTGTGTGCACGCGGCCTCCTGTTGATTGCCCGGGACAGAAGTCGTTAGCCTAGCCAAACAGGTGTCAAAGAGACAGGGGACGGCCCCGATGTTTGCCCCTGCAAGGATAGCAGAGCGAGGCGTCCCCGTTCAGCCCGATCAGAGACCTCTGCTGAGGTCATCTCGCTGCTGCACTGCGAGTGTTGATGAGAGAGTGCGAATGTGTGTGTGTGTGAGAAAGAGAGAGAAAGGTGAGAGAGATTGGTCAAGCGGGTCCCTGCATGCCTTCAGATGGGTGTCCATGCACATGTCAGGTTAGATATCCGTCTGAAGTGCACTTGCAAAGTCATTATTGTGTGTGTGTGTTTGTGTTTATAATTATATGTGTCTCTCTGGGTGAGAAGCCATAACAGGATGCCTTGGTGATAGCGGGCAATAGATGGATGGAGGGGAGAAAATGCAGCGGTAATTGTGCTGGATACAAAGGTAATTGGAAGGTAAATTGGCTTCAGAGTTAAAACCTGTGAGCACTCAGTCAGTCCACGTATTGAAACCAGATATCCAGCTGTGTGTTTGTGCATGTGTGCGCGACCATGAATGACTTATAACAACTAGACACGTTACAAAACACACCTAACGATGTTATGCTAAATAGAATTTATTTTTAGACATTTTGTTTCATTAAATCTGACATTTATTTGCACTTATCTACCGTAAACTGTTTGTGTTTGCTCGTGTTAAGGATGATGGGTATGGATAATAAGGATTTAATTTTGACCCGCTCAACATGCACAGAATATTCTAAACTAATGCTTCACTTCCTATGTTTTTTAGAGCTTTTGATGATTTTGAAGAAGGAAACGTCCTTCACGTTAAAAACATTGTACGGTGTATATCTCTATGACCCCCATTCATTGTCACTCTGGTTATCCCTGGCATATAATCTCTAACTTTTTTGTGGATAAATGTTATTTTATATGTGGAGTATTATGCTTTCCTTCAAAAGTTGATACATTTTTATCAAATTAAATCTTGTCCAATGCCCCCGGGGTAAATTATAGTCAATGTATTTCCTGCAATACATTCCTTTATGAATTTCCAGCCTTGTTTCAATTTAGGATTCAGGTCAGTTCTGAAGGATATTTTACCCCGCAGCTAAATGTGTTAAAATGCTGCTTACATTCATGCACATGGCTGCAATATCCATGACCTGCCTCGCCGGGAACAGGACGGAGACCGGAGGAAAGTAAATGAGATAGCTTTATTAGAATATTGAGCTCAGAAGAATTCGAAACAAGTCAGAAAGTTTGAAGAAGGTCAGAGGTGACCAGGCATCATTATACTATTTAAAGCCTGGTAATATATTCATTTAAAAAAAAAAAGTGCAACGGAAGGCTTTTAGAAAAGAATAATGATTGCAAACAAACCAAAGTAGCTCTGTGAAAAGAGCGAAAAACCACAGTTGTGTGTGAGCAGGAGAAAAAAAGGGGGATGGTATCATAGCAACTGGCACACGTCCAATATTTAAGAGGTCGTTCGCTCGTCTCCGAGCGCGTTGCTTCTTGCCTGGTGTGGAGGTAGGTGGAGGCAACTGAAGGTCCCACAGGGAGGCCAACACAAAAAGGTATCAACACCGTTGGGACGGGAAGTGGGGGGTGAGGGGGGGGTTCAGAGATGAAAAATCGGTCAGCCAGGTGTGCTGCTGCTGAACAGTTTGCAGTGCACCTTGAGGAAAATGATCTGAGAGGAAATGCAGGGTTTGGCGGCGGCGTTTTGGGGTATTGTGCAATCAGGCTAAGGACAGTGAAGACCCGAGCAGAAAGACGGCCTGCTTAGAGAGTCACAGAGTTGCAGCGAGTTCTATCTGTGAAATAGAGATGAGTGGCAAACCAGCGGGATGTAAAGGTGTTTACATTGAGGTGTCAGAGCGGCTTTGATGCACCGTGGCATAGTTTACACAAGGGACTTTAGGGATGAGCAGCATCCTTTCAGAAGAACAGTTTTCAAAAGATCACACGATGCTCAGGGCAGGAATAGCCAATCAGTGAGGATTTATCTGGCATCTACTGCACAACCGAAATTCCTCACTGAAAATAATGTTTTGATCCCTAATATTTTCAACAACAACTACCATATGAATTTAAAAAATGTAAATAATATGTTTACAAATAAGAAATACAGTATCCTGAAATGTTCCAATCAAATGTCTGATTTCTGTGCAGTACAATAGAAAGTAGTTTCTGTTAATTATCCTTATGTTTCCTACTTACTCTGACAATAAACTTTTAGCAGTTGACTAAATATGTGTTTTGGGGATTTGAGAAAGCCAGAGCAAATGACTCTCACGAGGCTTCAAGTTCATCTACTCCTATTGATTTCTTTCCCTTTTTAATTCCACACATTATAACATGGTTCTGATTGCTATTCGGATCTACAAGATGGGGATTTTTTTTTTATGTGGCATCCAGACGAATCCCTGGAGTTTTCCCCTTCAGACTGAGTGGCAAAAACCTTACATGGAAAGTAGTTGCATCATAGCCTCTTTAATTACTGGAAACAGAAAGCAAGGAGCCAGTTGCCAAATGAGCCGGGATGGAAAGATAAGTGGAAGAACCGGGGCGAAGGTGCTTGAGGAGAATGTGTTGGGCACAACTGGACCGTTTCGGCCGACTGTTTGACCACTTAGGGGATGGAAAGTCTGCCTCTGAGGATTTATTGAGACAATTAAGGATAAGGTCACTGTGTTTTTAATATTAATGTGTGATTCAATGACCCTCACCATGGAAGAAACTAGGTTATCGGTATAAGCTGCTAGGCTGCAGGCAGTTTTTGTTTTTATGGAGCATGTGTGTTCCTGAGTCCCACTTCTGTAAAATTTTAAGATCTTTGAAGTTAGTACCTTTAAAAAAAACGTGTTCTTCTCATTGTTGTCTTACTACCTCCTTAGTTACACAGACGATCTATTAAATAGTATACTGTAACAATTTGAAGTCCATTAAAACCTAAAACTTAAAATTCAATCGACTACGTAGCAATTTTAGACAGGAGATAAATAGTTATTACCCTTCTTACTAATGTGGGGGTTTGGGGGCTTTGGGGATTTGGGGGCGCCTTCCACCACGCTCTCTCATGTGCTGGCATCACCTCCCGCCCCTTAGTTCGGGCTGACCAATAGGAACAGCGGGAGCACTCGGGTCGACCAATCAGCACAAGAAGGGATGATAGTGAATAGAAGTTTAGTTTCAGAGTTTGGGATAGCAAGCTCGAGGGAGAAACCAACGAGGAGGCTGAGCGAGGGAACCGAGGACATCAGCGGGAAAAGTTAAAACAACACCCGTAAATAGGAGCTGTTCGCCGAAGACCGTTAAATACGTCTAAACAAGCGCCCTCTCTCTCTCTCTCTCCCCCCCTCTCCCTCCCTCCCTCCCTCCTAAGCGGTCGAGGAGGGTGGCAGGTGTTCAGCCAAAGGGGAGACGCGTCGCTTCAGTCGGCTCCCCGAGCCTCCACTGGGTGCCGGACGAAGAAACGCTATAAAACCACCGTGAGTACGCGGGGAGAACACTGAAAACGTTTTTTTTTTTTTTGGGAAGTAACCTTTTTCTTTTCCCCCGACTGGACTGTTGTGGAGGACCGTTAGAGACTACTGGATAACAGGGAGCGAAATGCTCCAGTGTCGCAGCGGGAGTCTCGTCATCGTCGGTTTAACGGACGTTTCCCCCCCGCGGTTCAAACCGACTGTTACCCCCCCTCTCGACTTTTACCGGCTCCCTTTCGCCTTTTAACAGAGCAAATGCGACGGGAGTAGTTACGGAGAAAACTTATAATGCGTTTTTCTTTTCATGCTAACCTGTTGTGTCATCGTTCCGTGTAACATAAGACCGGCAACTTAGCCTCTCTGGTATCCGAGGAGAGGAGAGCCCCTGCCGGGAGGGAAAGAGAGCCAGCAGCCGGGGAGGGGCGGCCACTTGGGATAACAGTTCACCTTCATTTTGGATTTCTTCACGCTTCTCCATCACTACGCTTTCGCGGGAGGGTGGAAAACAAGGACTTTCCGGTTCGTTTAATTAAACAATAGAGTCGGAGTGCACATAGTCGGTTTACCAGAATCCGCGCGCTGTTAATACGAGCACTCTCCCAATAGTTACAAATGACCCGCGGGACCAAATCCCCCAGAGAAGACCTCACAACAAGCGCGCGTTTGAGGGTCGATAGCGGAGAATAAGCCGATAAATCTAAAATACACTCAAGTGTATTAATCCGGCGCTTTTGGATCAATCCTAATTAAAATGAGGTATTGCGGGACGGAGGAGACACCCGGACTCAGAGATTACCGTTCCGTTACACCGTGAAGCCACGAAGACCCCCCTTTCCCCGGCTGCTTTTTCTTTTATATCCTTCAGATTTTTTTAAAACAATTTTTATTTTTTAAACACCGGAGCCGAGGACCCTTGGGAGCGGCAAGCGACAGCGGTGAACTCCCGGAGCTCTTGAGCTTCACTCCCCCGGGGAGGCGCGGAGCCGGAGCCCGTTTCCTCGGACTTCTTCTCAGTCGTGTGCGAGGAGCAGAGCGACAGCGAGGGGGGAGAAAGAGGGAGAGAGAGAGAGAGAGAGAGAGAGAGAGAGAGAGAGAGAGTTGCAGCAGCATACTTGAAGCACCAAGCGGGACACGGACGCTCTCGGTCCCCTTTCCCCCCTGCGTGATGAAAGCGGGGATTTTGAGCCAGGAGCGGTCGGCGGCGATGGGCCGAGCGAGGAGGACGGCGGCGGGGACGGCCCGCGGCGGGAGCCGGTGTCCGCCTCTGCTCCTGCTGCTCCTTCTCGGGAGCTGCTGCCACATGTTGCACGGACAAGGTGAGAGTCCTGGCTTCCAAACGCCACACGGTGCACCGGTGATACGTTCGTTGATGTGTATATTTTAGATCGATTTACCCTGGATGCCACTTCACCGAGAGCAACAGCATGGTGATCAGGGGGGAAAGTGACACGACGCCTCCTGACCTGGAAACAAGGGTCTGATTTATCACTTATTGTAAGTCGCTTTGGATAAAAGCGTCAGCTGAATGAAAAACGTAAATGTATTAGACCGGATTGGCCTCTTGACTTGGGATGTGTCCCTGCAGGAGGATGACACGGGTTACAGGGCCAGCAACAACAACGTCTCACTGCTAATGAAAGCAGGTTTATTGTTAGGGGTGGGAGGGGGGGGGGCACTAGACTGGATGAGTAAATCATTGTTATTGTTATGATACATAGATTGGAGGGTCATCGTTGCAGGATTAAGGTATTGAGGATGGGAGGGGGTGTCACAGTTTCCAAGCATTGATAATCCTCCTCTTAGTCAATGACCTGCTTAACTGCGGCGCCCGATCTGGCACACAACTGTAGGCGCACACTAAGTTGCCCTGTTGTGCTGGCAGGTGTCCAGATTAGTGTGCGATTTGTTGATGCACAAGGTTTAGCGTTTGGACCGTTTGTCGAAATCCAGCATCAGGACCTGTGAGGGGAAATTGTGCGTTGCCATGTTTTTTTTTCCCTCCCTTTTCCTGCTGTAGCGAGAGTGATGGTGAGAAATCTCGTATGTTGTGTGTTTCTTGTGAGAATGCTCCTCGTGCGATCATGTTGGGGTGCCAAACCCAGAGCACAGAAAAGGTCACGCTGGTGTCATGACACCGTTTTCTCTGGGTCACAGATGCGTGTAGGATGAATGTGAGGCTGAGGCTTGGGGTTTATGTGGAGGAGGGGTCTTGGGAATGTCTGTGTGTGTGTGTGTGTGTGTGTTAGAGGGAGGGGGGGTGGATAGCTATTTGTGAACGCATGGGGAATGTGTAGGAAGATATAGGAGGAATGAAGGGGGAAAGAAAGTCAGAAGGAGGGAGGCGTTGTGAGGGCAGAGGAAGGGAGAGGGGAGTGGCAAGGACAAGCAGGTGAGAATATGAAATAAAGTGGTGATGGGGGGCTTGATACAGACTGAATGTGGTGCACTGTGCTTGTCAATCATAAAGCTGTGTCTGCAGTTCTATCGATGATGACGGTGCGACAACACTTCTGTGTGAAGTCAACCTCTCCACCCTCCACCCTCCTCCACCTCCCTCCCTCGGGGGGTAACAAGGAGGTGGGTTGACGGACGGATGGATGGACGGACGGATGGACGGACGGACGGCGTGGCTGCAGAGTCAGCACCTCTCGCCCTCCTTCTAATGTCAAGGTCTCAGAACCAGCACCCAAGATACTACAACCCCACCGCAATATCCCCCCCACCATCCCCGTCCAGCTGTCTTGGCCCGGGGGGGTGGGGCTGCTGCTACTGTGACATATCTATACCGGCGGATGGCTGGCAGGAGGTGTTTGTATGTGCACGTGTTCTGGGGTAAGGGGGAAATTAATTGAAATTAGCAAAACAGATGTGGGACAGGGCAGGCGAAGCTGGAGGGGACAGGAGGTGGGTGGGGGGGGCTTATTGATTTGATAAGCTGTGCCAGGCGGCCGATCGAAGGTGGTAGATCTTCCAAGTTCCGGCCCCTCTGTCTCCAGCATTTATTAGAATGTTTTATTTCAGAAGGAAACGGATGAAATTCATGAGCCAAGGTTGATCCTCCTGATCTCCCCCTGCCCTTCACCCCCCCCCCACCCCCCCTCCTCCACCCTCGACCCACTCCGTCCCTCTTTCCCTCTCTCTCCTCTCTTTCTCCCAGTCAATCGATGCCCACACCCTTCCTCATAAATGTGAGGCTTTATATGAGCCAACTCTCGTCTCTGGGAGCACATTTAAATAAGCTCATCGATCTTTCATTTTAGAGTTTAAGTGACGGCAGCATTTTACTGTCTCTGCCCCCCTCCCCGCCGCCGTCCCCCTGTCTCCTCCACCTCTCATCTGCTCAACTCTCCACCCTTGCTTCTTTATTCATAACTTATCTCCCCCCCACCCCCCCTCACTGAGTGGGCTCGGCTGCCCAGCTGTTTGACTGATTCACATTTCCAGCTTGGATCCAGACGGAGCTCCACTTTAGACTTTATGTTCTGTCGAGGATGGATCAAACCTGGTTTGTTTTCTAAATGAAATCACCAACCGGCAGAGTCCAGAACACTGTGTCAACTGCCAATTCCCTGAAAATAACAGTGTGTCATTTCTACAGCCATGGATTTTGATATTATCTACATAATTTACAAACATTTTTAGAAGCCCAAATCACAGAGGAACCCGTCATACTTCAAATGAGATAAAAACATTGAAATGTTCAAAGTCAGAGGGGGTTCACATCACAACAGCGATATGGCCCATTAGGTTTATAATACGTGCTAAATTATTTTGTCCCAGATGCTAATGTGGATAATGATAATGGTCGATAAGTAGCCAACATGTAATGAAAAAATACTGCTGGTCGTCATTATTGCTAACCTTGCCCAAGGTAATTGCATTAAAATGTGGCTGGAGCGTCCCAGCTGGAAGACCATTGCACTTCTTTAGTGTCTAAAAAAATATATTTTTTTTAGTGCTTTTTTTTTTACAAAGTTATGTTCTGACGACCAATTTAAATGTTTTTTTTTCCAACCAGCCCAATAAAAGAGTTTCTGACCCAGATAGCGGGATCTATCAGTGTGATTAGCTTTGATATGACACACATCATTGGCTCAACTAAGCCAGAGCGTGAGACTGATTGGACCACTGGCCACGCTTAAGTGAATTGAGGTCACGGATAGGACATTTGGACGGTGGGCTTGGAGAGTTCTCAGCGTGATGTCAAAACCCAAATCAAATAGACTGGCGTGGAGCTTTTACACGCGTGTGGCACAATCACGCGCGCACACGCAAAGTCCTTCTCTCACATCAGTGTCAAACAGCTAAAGCAGACGTGGTAATTTGCTTAACCGTGTTCTAATGAGGAGAGGGTCAATGAGGAGCCCTGTCGAACTGATTAGCATCGTCCGCGCTGCTCAACCTTACAGTGACTTTTACACCTCCCTCACACTGGAGACTCTTCTACTCCAATGTCCAAAGTCTCATTCGTCAACACTTGTGCCTCTTTAAAATAATATATTCTCAGAGCAGAACTTTGACATGTGCAACCTGAGGATGTTGATATATTATAAACTCTGCATTTGTAGCTTTTTACACAACAGTTACACGTATGTGGTGTCTGTGGCACGACACAACATTGTGTATTCAATTAAATTGCCCCGTTGTGCTGGCAGGTGTCCAGATCAGCGTGTGGCTCGGGGTTGCAGACGCTTTGCTGCTGTGTGGAGTCGTTGAATGTTGAATACAACATCAGCAGCTGTCTGTGGAAATGATTGGCTTTTTGGAGAGAAACTGTGGATATTTGTGTGTCTTTTGTATTGTGTATGTGTGTACACAGTTATATATCTTTACACTTAAGGCCCACAGACACAGATTTAATCTCACATAAAGTAGTTTAAATTTTGGAGGCTTCGAGAGAGACTGTTCCTGCTGATGGATTGTGTGTGTGTGCATGCGAGAAGGACCCAGAGAGAGAGTGAGGATAAGACGGCGTGAGTGTGTGTGGGAGCGTGTGATAGACGTCAGGCTCGTCAGGTGACAGGTCTAAGAGGAAGTGAGGTCCCCAGGTTGACTCCCTTATTTCCTGTCTGTCAGGGAGAACAAATCACACTTCCACAGCCACCTGACACTTTATGCTGCGAGTGTACTTTTCTACGTGGGTTTTTTGTGGGAGGGGGTGTATGTGTCTACCTGTCTGTGTGCAGAGTACATACAGTATGTGTTGCTGGCAGCTGTTGGCGTGTCAGAAGGAGCATTCATCCAATCTGCAATCTACAAAGTAGTTTATATTTCTTAGATCAGGTCGTTAAGTCAGAGGGAAACTTTTTTTTCCACTTCCATCAGTGTCACTATTGACAGTCAAGGCGAATATTCAATATAAATATGCGGTTACGGTATAATTCTGGAAAGCTTTGTGTGTGTGTGTGTGTGTGTGTGTGTCTACCTGGCTTTGTTTCTAGCTTCCCTGTCTTTGTGATAAGCTACATTTTATGGGAGTTTTTCACCAAAACATCCTTCAGAGCTTTGAAATATGAGCCAAGTGGGACGCACTCTGGTCTCCCTCGGCCTCCCACTCCATCATGCCTTTTTAAAATTGTTGTGCTCTTTTTGTTGCGTCTGTTCTTTCGCTATTGCTCCTCTTGTTTTTGGTTTCTCATTCTTTCTACCCTCCCTGTCTCCCCATAAGGGACTGAAGCATCTAGTGCTGCAGGCCACACAGGTGGAGTCGAGGCTGTTTTGCTGTGCAGGCCTTGGTGTTTATTATGTAAGACGGGGGAGATGGTTGCTATTGATCTGCTGTCTATGCGTGTGTGAGGAGCGACTGAGGGGGGGGGGGGGGGGGCCCTGGGGGGGAGGGAATGGCCCAAAAACTTATCTTGTACTTTTAAAAAGGTTCCCCAGGGACACCTCCCAATAAAAGCAAAGCGCTTGCAAAAACATGAACTCTATTGATTAACAAAACTGCCGAACACAAAGACTGGCGGACACCCAGCGAGATTTGCAGACCAACAAAGGGATGAGTGCCTGTGTGCCCCCCGCTGTGTCTTTTGTGCGTTAGCTCGAGTGTAGGGGAAGTTGAGACCCATGATGTGGGCTTGCAGTGGTCCCCCGTAGGAGGTCATTAAAGGAACACTTTGATACGTGACAGAAGTTAGGGGCTGCTGGTCTTTGGGTTTAGTCTTGTAGATGTCCTCCTTAGATGGATGATGTTCATGCTGGGATTTGTATTTAGAGCTGAAACGCTTGGCAGTTCATCAAAAGGTAAACACAAGCTATTTCTAATAATAGGTTGAGGCATTTTTCAAACAAATGTGAATATGTGCTCCGTTCCTCT